GGGGGGGGGGGGGGGGGGGGGGGGGGAGGAAGTGCTGTGAAGATCAACAGGTGTGCAGGAGGAACAGCTGAGTAAACTCACAGGAAGGAAGAGGCTGCAAAATCAGCAAGTATGCAGTGGGAAGATTGGTAACAGGTCACTGGGAAGATAGGGGGTTCGAGGTCCAATTTACACCTGTGCAAATTAGTGGACAGATTTAAGATGTTCATGTGGGAATATCTTCTGAATGTAATAGACTAACCAGGGCCAAATGTTGGTTGAAAATTCCAGGAGATAATTTCCAGATAACTATAGGACATCAGGCTGGCAATGGCTGAATTAAGATTTGTGTCCACATAAGTATTGAAGCATTAAGCATTTATTATTCTTACACCTGCATTTTTTCTATGAGCTCAAAACAGCTTGGGGGGGGGGCTTCCCTAGCTTTTTTGGGGGGCAGAATTACTCTATTCCATATTGAGATGTATTCATCAGTGCTGCTATACCAAACGAAAGGCCAACTTTGGACTGGGTGGCTAGCCAGCACTTCCTGATTTTTTACAAAACCAAAGAACGCAGGTAAGCAGATGGCTGATCAGGTGAGAGTCATTACACTGGGGGGGGGGGCAATCCTTTCCCAAACTCTTCCCCCCTCAACAAAACCAAACAAAAAGGGAACTGGTTTAGGCTTAATGACAAGCTAAGCCAAATCACAATATGTATATGGCTTAGCGGTCATGCAAACATGGTCATAGTCTGCTTAAAAGTTAGGGTCCCAGGCAGTGATTCTTATTCCTTTCTACCTGATTCTTTTAACTGATAAACATTAGCTATAACTCGGCAAGAGATATTTCCCAGATCCTTCATAGCTGTGGCTTGCAGTAACTATCAAAGTGAGTCTACGATCTTTGTTGGTAGGGATAGCAGCTAAGAGAGCCTTCATCCTTCTGCAATGTATGCACTAGAGATGCACTAAAATGCATATCTGAAACCAGCCCAACTGTTTAGGATCTGAGACAGAAAATTATGCAAGCATTTCTCCCTGGCAGTAAAAATACAGTAATAAATAAAGACCAATTAGGTACTGTTTTGCACACCCCAAATCAGCTACAGTTGATGGTAGGGCTGATTCTGATAATTACTGGCCACACTTTCTTTGTCTGTCTTTCTATCCATCTGTCCATCCGTTCTCTAAGGACCACAGTAATAAATAAAGACCAATTAGGTACTGTTTTGCACACCCCAAATCAGCTACAGTTGATGGTAGGGCTGATTCTGATAATTACTGGCCACACTTTCTTTGTCTGTCTTTCTATCCATCTGTCCATCCGTTCTCTAAGGACCATCACATGGCCGCTGATGCACAGACATCACTGGGATGAACATCACTGAATTGATTCCTTTTCAAAAACTATTGCAATATTACACTGGGTGGGATTTGGGAAGAATGCTGCGCAAAATTGCCACCTTGCCACTATATTTTAGTGATATAATCCTGGAGAGTTCTGGGAATTGCATAAATAGAGCTAGGGGCCACAAAAGGTCCATCGGCTGTTTACCTCCTCAGCAGTCCCCACTTCAGAACAGTGGCATATAAATGTATCTGTGCAGTAAATAGTACTACTGCTGCATTAAGCATGTTTGAAATGAAGTGAGCCCTTGGGAGCTCTCCTTGGAAATATGGATAATTTACTATATTCCAAAGGTGTATGATGGTTTGAAAAAAGGGATATATCTTTAAATAAAAACTAACTACCAATAATGAATCCAAATAATGTATTTAGTATTCCCTCTGTCTATTTTAAAATACAGTCATTACCAGAAACATTTTTTAAAAAAAATTCTAAATAGTCAAGATAATTGTCAAGCTAGACTAATTTCCAAAAGGTAATCAGGGTTGAGCC